ATATCCAAATTATTTCGTTACCCCCACCGACGCAGCCCCAAACAGTTTCTTTCGAAACTATCAGCCTTTATTCATAGTCATGTTGCCCGATATTTTGAGTCTTGTCGCCCGAACTTATAATCGAGTGTTTAAACTTGAAGAAAAGTAACATCTTAAGTAAATCGTAAGGGATAAACTCGTAAAATGTGGACTGGTAAACTGTTTTGGTCCGCTAACCTACGAGAGACTCAATACCGCTGTTCATTTCAGCGTTGTTCGTTGCTCTGAGCTAAACTGCTCATTCAACAATACAGGTTCTAGTCATAGAGGTTTTGCACAGCAGCCATGTTGGATGCAGGAACAATGAAATTATTTTGCATAAGAAAGAATTTTTTTTCCCATGGGTAAAATACTCTATTGTTCCTGCCATCCAACATGGCTGCTGTGCAAAGCCTGTATTATAAGCGGAACTCTGTCAGTAAACTTTTCAGTAAAGAACACTAATATCTTAAGTAAATTCCAAGGAATTACCTCATAAAATGTTGACTCGTAAACTGTTTTCGTCCGCTAACCTATACAAATAAGAAGTTAAAGAAAGACCCAAATATCACTGTTCATTTCAGCGTTGTTCGTTGCTATATGAACCAAACTGATCATTTTACAGCACAGATTCTAGTAATTATAAGCGGAACACTTTCAGTTATCAGAATTTTTCACACATATCAGAAAAATACATCAAGTTCTCTTAGTTTGATTTATAGTATAAAAAACAATCTGAAACTCTTACAGCGATTTTTTGTTGTCTGTTGTTAACGAACAAAGCGTGTTAGCATCATTCGATCCCCATAGGATCAGACGCGGCATAAATTGTCGCGACTTGTTCAGTCGTTCCTTGTTTCCTCAGCCGGTCGAATGTAAATTTTGATCCGGTTTACCATATATAAAGAGAGTAAATGAATAACAGCCACCTCATTCTGACTTGTAAAATGTTTTCGTCCGCTAACCCGCTATACAATTAAGAAGTTAAAGAAAGACTCACATATCGCTGTTCATTTCAGCGTTGTTCGTTGCTATGAACTAAAATGATCCTTCTAGAGCACAGGTTCTTGTAATTATAAGCGGAACACTTTCCATTATCAGTATTTTTGACACATATCAGAAAAATACATCAAGTTCTCTTAGTTTGGATCTACCCCAACGTCACAATCTTGCTTGGCAATCATGTGATGATTCTTGAGCACGTGCTGTATTCAAGATGGCGGTGTTTTCCAATGTTCCAATCGTAGTGATGTGAACCTTCGTTAGAAACAGAATGCTTCCACATATAAAACAACAACAATGAGAACCATACTATAACTGATATTACTATTTTTTTTTTTCGTTCTCGTGTTTTATTTTTAGGCCTATCTCTGTGATATCAAACGACAGCGAAACGAACAAACTGAGTTTCACGAGTCAACATTTTACGAGTTTTTTCCTTGCCATTTACTTAAGATGTTACTGTTCTTCAAGTTAAAACATTCGATAAAAGCTCGGGCGACATGACTTAGGATTTCGGGCGAGATGACTTTCGGGCGACTTGACCGTAAACCTCGAGAGCATGCTAGGTTGTTTTTGGTTATGGATTATAAGTTTTGCTCCGCAAACGCGAGTATCTCGTGCATCTTACGAGAACCACTCACAGCGCACCGTAGCAAAAGGTTTCTGTTACTTTTGTCTCCAGGTTCTGTCCTCAGTTCTGACCGAAGCTGGATTCGATGGCGAAGCGTTGACAGCAGCGACTCAAGATCAACAGATCAAGGATCAATTGCGGAAAAACACAGACAGGTGCATGTGCTTACACTCTTTTACCAGAACACATCATTCAATAAATAAAGCGCCAAGCAGGAAAGAGAAATAATGAGTAATCTAAACGTTTGTTTTGTTGAATATTATGTTCAGAGCTAATCCATCTTAACTTAGTCCATGCTGCAGGTGTGCTCGTTCCTCCTTTATCATTGCCATTGTTATTATTATTATTGTCAATGTCAGCATTATTATCTTATCTTAATTTGTTTGTAAATATTTTTGATGATTCGAGTGAATTATCGTCATCATAGTATGTATTCTCTAGTTTTTCTTACATTTTTATTAGACATTTTAAGACGTTTTTTTTTTTTATTTTCAAGCATTTTATCATAATATTTGTTATAATTTTTTGTGATTATGGTAAATATATATTAAAAAAAAAATTCTTATTATTTTTACCGGTATTAATATAATTATTATTGTTATTATCACTATTGTTATTCATCATTTTAACTTGTTTCCTCGCCGAGGAGAGGTTTAGTTAAGTAAAAGTAAATCTTCTTTGTCGTGTTTTTAGAGCCTTTGCCACCGGACTTTGTGGAGTTCCGAGCTATCAAGTGAACAATGGATCCGTTTTGTGGGGTCAAGACAGACTTAATGTTATCGCCGACCTGCTTTGTGGCTGGGAAGACCACTTAAAACCAACCAATCACAGCAAGCTTTAAACAATGCAGTTGTTCAGAAGAAAATGACTTTTTATTCTACAACGGGTGAACTTACGTGGGATACTTCCGTGACAGATTTGAACAAATCAATGTTCTGATTATTTAAACAAAGTTTAGCCGTTGTTCAACCAAACCACGTCCAAAACAATTCTCAATTTAGCTGAAACTTTCATCTGAACATTTATTTTTGCGAACAGTGTCAGGAGGGCCGAGAACTAACAGTACAAGGACTTTTAAAAAATTCAATCAACCCCAGTATTGAGAAAGCCTGAGGCCCTCTAATCGTGTAATTATACTGGCCCACTTTTTTTAAGAAAACAGACTCCCAGCTACGAACCTCAAAATGAACAGCAATTAATTAACGAGGCATAATGACCAAAGCTATGGCTGGCTAAAAAAATATGCACTGTTGAAAAAGTCCTCTGAAAAGTAAAAGTATTCATAATTATCACGTGATTTCTCATGCAGAATAAAGTATAGAATTTTAGTGCTTTGTAATCTTTGAGGGTAGGAAGGGACCTAAGTAATCCAATGGAACAAGGGGAAAAAGCAATCGCTTTTCTCCGCTGTGACCTGAGTTCGATTTTCTTATAGCGTCGCGTTTCAAGTAATTGAATTTCATTTTTTGCTGGATCTCGTCCTTGTTGTGGGTTTCTCCCATTCAAAAAATCCAACACTTCCAGCTCTATTAGCTTTAATGAAAAGCCAGCTTATCAAAGATGTGCAACTGGCAAAAGCTATAAATTTATCACGTATGCAAAAAAGATGAAGACGCGTATTTCTTTATCTTGTGATATTTATTTAGTTCAATGTTTTCTACACTGCGGGCAGCCTCGTTAGCTGTCGTGTCATCTGGATTACATGATGCTAGTTTAATTGATCTAGAAGTGGCTCGTTTTGCTGCGACCTATTCTAAATAGTTTGCGTCACAAATTCCTCTAATATTGCCACTCACTTAAAGGTAAAACATAGTAAGTAGTGTGAGAAAAATCTTAAAAAACAGCGGACTTAACCTTCTCATTTGCTGAGCTTTGTAAACGTCTGCTGAAGAAAAAAAGGTTCAATAATCAAATGAATTCTAAAATAAAGAATGTTGTTGTTGTTGTTGTCTCCGATTATTCACAGCCCCTCATCAGTCCTCGCTCGTTTCGCAAAGAATCACGAGAGAGTTTGATTAAAACAAACTGATCATCAGTAACACATGCGTTCTAACGCTAAAACTAGTGAGATCCACTTACTTCAATTTTGAAAACCACTCTGATGATCAATCCATTTAACGTTGAC